CGGCAGATCAGCGCGAGGGAGAGCCGGCAGACTTGAGCTGCTGCGAACCGGTTCCGCATTGTTGCACAGCGATCCAGGCAGCTGCTTCCAGTGCACGGTCCATTCTCAAAGTGGCGCAACCAAAAAACTATAATTAGCACACGATCGTTCATGTCCGCACATGTTCTCTATTTTCTGTCTTATTTGTGCCTGAAGCGCGCTACTGCGGAGCTCATCACCTGTGCTGTGGTGATGTCACCTCACGCAGCATCGAAAACGCGCTCTGCGCTTTTCGGTCAGGAGATCCCTTTGACCTGCTCAAAAGTAACTGATGAGGTGAAAAGGTAAGAATCCAGGCAACAGATTTTCTGGAGAATTAAGAGGAGATGCAGGAAGATGACAGACAGACAGGACAGGAAAATAGTTCAATAAAAACAAGAAAACAAAACAAAGTGTTGAAAAGTAAAATGTAGGTAGATTTATCTCCACTACACGTTTTTACCAGTAAAAAACAATAAGTTATACACATGTCATATTTATACATCTGATACAATTCAGATCACCTTCAAAACTCAGTCACACACCCAGGGCCGTTTCAAGACATTTTGGGGGCCAAGGCAAAATGCCCCCCCCAATAACTGGGCTCCCCAGAAGCCTCTGTGTAATTCATGCCCTCTCCAGTAGTGTTAGTTATATGGTGTTTATAAAAGCCCCTCAGACATTACTGACATGCTCTAATATTATCAGATGAAAAACTAAATTATCAGACATGCTGTCTCATCTGCTTATTTTATAACCTTGCAAAAAGTAACAAAACCATTTGAAAGCCACTATTTGTGGATTCTCTGAAAGTTTCCATGGAGTTTGTGACAACTTATTTTTTCATTGATCCTATCGTCTAATCTCACAGTTGAAACAAGCATCCTTAATAATCTGTGCACAGGAAGCTTACCGATGCTGTAGTAAAACAAAAGGTATAATAATTTATTATTAATAAAACCTTGTTGCAGCACTAAAGCAGAAAAATTAGATTTTGCATTAAATATGCAAAATATTTACATATGAATTGTTTTAGAGCCCTTTAATTGGCAGAATCTGATATTAATTTAGTTCTTACAAAAAATGGGTCCCAACATGGTTTGTGTGGCGTTGCCATAGTGTGACGTCATAGGCACAGATCCCCTGTCCTCTTGTTTGGAAATGGAAATATGGTCACCCTACATTAAACAAACTGTCCACCCGGGCTTTTGCACTGCACAGAGACGCTTCGCTGCCTACGACTGAACGTCAGTTGAGAGTCAGTCTCATGCAGACTGACCAATGAAGAGAGGGCCTCAAGTTAAGACCCTCTCCTCATTGGTCAGTCCACACGAGGTGGGTCAAAGGTTACTATGGGCGGGTTACGTGTTGTCAGGCATTCAAGTATTGAGTATATTTACTGCATATTACAGTAAAATATTCTGTATGTGACCACATTATGGTGATCCTTGGGTCGTGATGATGGAGCCCTTGAATATTGTTGCCCAGGGTACAACAAAGTGTTAATCTGGCCCTGGTTCCGCCGTCACATTCCCGCAGAAACTGGCTAATCACACCGGGGCCAGACTACTAGCATGTGGTTTTACAACCACAATGTCCTCAGAAGCAAAAACGCTTTTAAAAGGGAGGGAGGAGTCCTAACTGTTGCTGCAGGCGCGTTGTGTGAGAGTGCAGTTATATACTGGTTAATATATTTTTGGGTTCAGTTGCTTTCATGTGGCCTAATGTGAGTCTATTTGGGATCATTGGAATGATCAGCAGCATTTCTTGATGTGACTTTATGGCAGTTGCCCAGGGCATCATCGCAAGGAGGATGGCATTCATTTACTTTTGTTTTATTTGGTATTTTTTCAGTCATTTTTGGAAATAGTGATCAATTTTGATAAATTCACAGCCTATGTTTAATTACATTTAAAATAAATGTCAACAGATGAGATCAAACAAAACAGATGAGAATTGCCCTTAAGCTGTTTAACTTGGACCAAGCATTTTAGGTCATAGATAGATGTAGCTTAGGGTCTCTGTCTATACACCTTATAAGACAATTTAGGTGATGGCATGTTGTTTTTCTGCTATTGAACTGTTTTCTAATAATGTTGTGTTAAATAAAGTGAAGGAAGGAGAGAAATAACGTTTCCCTAGCAGTTTTTAAAAATTTCCCCATGTAATCCGATTAATCGATTAATCGTGTCGAGACCCCATCCGATTAATCGATTATCCAAATAATCGTTTGTTGCAGCCCTACCTCTCATTTCTTCATTTATCGTGATATCACCTCGAAATTTGTTGTAAGTGATCCTAGTCTGACCCCCAATAGAAATGGATGGCTGAAGTTTGTGGGCGTGGCCTATTTTCTGAAATAGCGCCCCCTAGGACCATTAAAACTGTCAGCCCCAAGCCATGCTTTGACTGAGGATTACGAAATTTGGTACACTAATGTGGTGTCTCAGGACCTACAAAAAAGTCTCTTGGAGCCAAGTGCAAAGGTGCACAGGAAGTCGGCCATTTTGGTCCAAGTGCGCGATTTAGTGGTTTTCACACACGTTGTTTGGAGAGTGATGCTCCGTCGCCCTTTTCACCAATCGCCTTCAATCTTCTGCTATATACTCTTAAGACAAAGAGGAAAAGATTCAACCGTCGGATTTTAAATAAGTTTAAAGGTGTGGGCGTGGCTAAGCCTCAAACTTTGACCTTTCGCCACGCCACTCTTTTTTTCACAGCTCCCTATTGGACTCCTTTTACCCAATCACCAGGAATCTCTGGTAAATAGCAGCAGACAAGTTGAGGTCACTTGGTCTCCAGTACTGGAAGGTTTTGAAAAAAGGCGGGGCTTTGGGAGCATGGCGAAATTCGCCATCACGCCATGGCAATACGTTTGCCTCTCATTTCTTCAATTATCGTGACATCGCCACAAAATGTCTGGTGAGTGATCCTAGTCTGACCCCCAATAGAAATGGGCATCTGAGATTTGTGGGCGTGGCCTATATTCTGAAATAGCGCCCCCTAGGACCATTAAAACTGTCAGCCCCAAGACAAGGTTTGACTGAGGATTACGAAAATTGGTACACTCATGTAGGGTCTCTGGACCTACAAAAAAGTCTCTTGGAGCCAAGCGCAATTTCGCACAGGAGGTCGGCCATTTTGGTCCAAGTACTCGATTTAGTGGTTTTCGCACACGTTGTTTGGACATTGATGGCCCGTTGCCCTTTACACCGATCACCTTCAAACTTATGCTATGTACTTTTAAGTCAAAGGGGAAAAAATTCAACCGTCGGATTTTAAATAAGTATAAAGGTGTGGGCTTGGCTAAGCCTCAAACTTTGACCTTTCGCCATGACATTACTTGACTTAATAACTCCCATGTGCATGATCAGATCTAATTCAAACTTTGTCTGTGTGATCACTGACCACATCTCAAGACAACGACAATGTGGACAGCTGACATCACCTAAGCCCCGCCCCCTGACAACAGGAAGTCTATTGTTTTATGGTGAAATGCCCATATTTGTCCCCTCTAATTTAGTGAAAATGACACTCAGGTCATACAGTGTCTTCATGATGTTTTAAAGACCATTCAGATCTGATAGCTTTCCAGAAAGGGAGGGGCTTTGATGCCATGGTGAATGCTGGCGTGACGCCATGACCTTACATTTGACTGTAACTTCCACAAACGGCCTCCGATTTGCCCGAAACTGAATATGGCAATGAACAATCATGCCCTTTAGCCAATGAGGCACAAACGGTTGGTGAATGTTATATAATGTCACCAAAGATGACCTCAATGGGACTTTTCTGTAGTTGGTCACAGCGCCACCTAGATAACGTTATCCTTCGATAACTTTAAAAAACATGGTCAGAATAGCATTAAAGTTGGTCACTGTCATCACACCACCAGTGTGGTAAAGATAGAGGATTCCCTAGTGGTGAGACATAAAATATAATGGTGGGCTCAAAGGGGATGCTGAGTCAGGGTGAGTTGCGGACAAGGTGGCCGTTAGCAGTTTCTGGTGTTGGGGTGGTCGACGTTTGTGTTCTGCGGACGTGCCCTGGTGCCCCGGGCTGCCGGCCAGGCCGGAGCGGCGCGGAGCTGCGAGGGCCGAACGACGCTGCTTGCAGCTTTAATTTAAGTTTGTTTTTTACATAAATACATGATTCTCTATATCTGTACAAAAATATCTACAAACCTAATATTTACTTGGATACATAAGTATGATTTGGTTTTGCAATACTGCAGCCTCTAAGGTTTATTTAGGTAAGATTTTTAAACCAAGTAAAGTTAGCAAAGAATTGGCTGCTAAGAAATCGTTGAACTTAAAATGGGCATATTGTAGAAACAACTTGGCATAAATGATTCTTCCCTCCTTTTTTGTCTTAACCAATTAAATTCCAGTAATTGAGCAAAACCATTAATTTTTTTACACTAGGTTTTATAAAATAACAGGACACACGGTGTCAGTACATTTGGAAAAAGTTTAAATAAAGGGGCCCAGAGAGCTGCAGAGTGAGTGCATTGGGTTGTGAAGGAAGAACAGAGTTGTCTGCAGTGTTATGGCTGTAGATAAATTACATCAACATATTAGCTATAACAGTCAAGGATTTATTTATAATATTTTCCTGAAAATAAATCTGTCCTAAAGGCAAAATTTAAAAGTAGCGAGACTCCAACTTGGAAGTTTTTCACTGCCTTTGGAGCTGGCCATTAAGAAAATTGGCTACAGCTACAGCTTTGGGTGATGGATCATATGATGATCATCATATGAGGGTGCTGTGATGGACTGGCTCTCTGTCCAGGGTATACCCTGCTTAATTGCCCATTGACCGCTGGAGATAGGCACCAGAACTTTGATTAGGATTGGTCTAGCAGGGGAGATTATAATTGTACAAGGAGAACAGATTAAGATTTGACCAGGTGAAGAGATTACGACTGGACATGGTGAGGGGATTAGGATTGAGCCAGAAGAGGTGATAGAGTGTGTTCTTACCCAGTGTCATTGTGGCTGCTCTTAGCTCGTTTAGCTAAGTGTTTACTCTCCAGGTCGTTGACCTCAGACTCCTCCTTGACCGCTTTGTACACTTTAAAAATGGACAAGAAAAATCAGATATCCTACAGAACATACTACAGACCAGGTCTACCTTCCAATAAAGGTGAACTCATCAGTATTTTTTATAGATAAAGGTTTTATCTACACATTTGTTTGTGTGATCACCACATGAGTCTGTTTTTGTTCTTATCAAAACCTTCAACCTGACTATGGCTGCGTGATTATTTGAATTTTAATCTCAATTATGATATGGGTTTTGAACCATCACAAAAACCAAACGAGCCAATTATTTGATCATCCCTCATGTTTTCCTCTTGCAAAGCAAGCCATTTTTAACACCTCCCCCAAAAAGCACCTAGCAAACAACCTATCGACATTTCTGATGACCCTGATCTATTTTCTGTATAAGACTGTCATTGATATTCCCTGCAGGTTAGCAAAACACCCAGCTTGTGCTCCAGATTATCCTTCCAGACATTAGAAAATGGATAGATGCGGGCATGTGAGTGTAGCATGATCACATTACATCGACTGACTAATCATAAACCTTCCTTGGTGGAGCTCGCTCGCTCACAAAACCAGCAGCTTTACAAGCAAATTACAGTGAGCAACATTTTAAGTGGATTTATGTTATTAGAGCTGCAAAGTCTCACGCAATAAGTGTGAGACACGCATTTGACTGTCTTCATGCACTGCAGCACAGACCCTCCAACCTTTGTTATACCTTGTGGAAGAACATGTGTAGGTAACTTAATTCTTGGAAAAAAAGTGTTACCATTTCCCTTTCCTCCTTCTGAATTATCGGGCTTAGTCCAAGTAAAGTGTGTAACGACTTAACAAGATAACGTTATACCTCTAAATGACTTTCGTGACACTATATTTGTCACAAAGTGTGAGTCACATTCCAAGCAAGGGCAAGGCAAGGCAGTTTTATTTGTACAGCACCTTACAACAGCATAAAACTGACCAAAGTTCTTCACAGAAATTAAAACATTAAAAAACAATACACAACATAAAAATGCATAAAAATTAAAGCTTAAGATCTAACAATAAAAAGAGTAAAAAAAAAGACTCATGCTGAGTTAAAAGCCAAATCATAAAAATTGGTTTTAAATCTATTTTGAAAACCAGACAGTGAAGAGGCCGACCTAATGCTCAACAGCAGCGCATTCCAGAGCCTAGGAGCCGCTACAGAGAAAGCCCTGTCACCTCTTAGCTTGTGTTTTGTTTTTGGGACTTCCAAGCGCATCCTATCAGCCGACCTCAGAGACCGTTCAGTGGAGTAAAAAACAGTTGCTCAGAGATGTACTCTGGAGCAAGGCCATGCAAAGATTTAAAAGCCCATAAAAGCGCCTTGTACTGGATTCGAAAACTCACAAGCGGCCAGTGCAGTGAGGCCAAGACGGGAGTAACATGCTCCATCTTTTTTGTCCCTGTGAGCAGCTGTGCAGCAGCATTCTGCACCAACTGAAGATGCAAGAGGTGGAATTGTGAAACACCTAGGTACAAAGAATTACAGTAATCAAGCCTTGATGTAAGAAAAGCATGAATTACTGTTTCAAAATCCTTTTTAACAACAAGTTTTGTACTTTGGCGTTCCTTCTTAATAGATAAAAACTAGATTTAGTCATCGCACTGCCTGGCCAAAACAAGATCCCTATCCAGTACAACACCCAGGGAAGTCACACTCAGCTTCAAGAATGGGGCGAGCTGACCAAGGTCCACTGCACCCACCCGAGACAAAGTACTTGAACCAAAAACCACAACCTCTGTCTTTTTATCATTACAAAGAAGGAAGTTAGAGAACATCCATTGCCTAACATCAACGAGACAGTCTAACAGAGACTGCAAAGCATGACTGTGGCCCCTCTTAAAAGGCACGTATACCTGGTTATCATCTGCATAGCAGTGAAAATGACACCCATGTTTCTTAAAAATCGAACCATAAGGTAGCAAATACAGAAAAAACAACAAAGGGCCAACTGATAAAAAAAAATTTAAGCCTAGAGGGCATCAAATCCAAGGGAGAACCAGCAGGTTTTAAAGAGTTAACAAAATCCCAAAGGCAGTACAACGTAAGCGGCTCAAACTGACCAAGTAGCTGAACAGGGACCAGAAAGTGTCTCACAGGGGACTGATAAAATCTGGGCTCTGATATAGATTATTTTGTCGACAGAAAACCTCAAAAATGCTTTGCAAGACATCACGGAGGGCTCAATACCCACTGGTTGGTGAATATTGAGAATATTATCGATTACAAAAAGCATCCATAGCCTGTGAGGCGCCGAGAGTATCACATGTGAGAAATGCACACTCCTAGCATCTCTCACAGCCTCCTGATAGTTGCAAAGACAGTCTCGTAACACCTGAAAAGAGCTCAGTAACCTATCCTTCTTCCACATCCTTAATGCTAGTCGATATTTCCGCCTCATTAAACATGTAGTCGTTCAGCCATGGCTACGATCTGGCCCTGGGCAGCCTAGACTTCAGTGGAGCGACAGAATCCAAGACACTGCTACAGGTAGCATGGAGCCAGGAGCTTAGTGCATTAACAATCAGGCAGGTGGAACAAGGAGGTGTAGGAACATCATCAAAGGCAGTAGAGAAACTAGCAGCAGTTGAAGGGTTAATAACTCTTGCCGAGGGTGCACAGAGGCCCCCACAGTCACATCAGACATATCAGACAGAAACAAAGTAAACAACACAGGCATGTGGTCTGAGAAAATAGCATCACAAATCACTAAGTCAGATACCAACACACCACATGTTAAAACCAGGTCAAGAGTTTGTCCATGTTCTTGGGTCAGCCATTCCTCCCCATCCCTGCATATTTTTCTCCTCCTGCTCCCTCACATCATCACACAAACATGCACATAGGACCTTGGGGGGTGGACAAGTCAGGGAGTGCGGGTATGGACCCCATTTCCGCATTCCTGTGCCAACCTGCCCCCAAATTTATTTGCGCCTTAAACACTTCCACCAATGACATTCCACGCAAACACACACTTAGGGCCTTGGGAGTGAGCACATTCAACGGCATTTGGCAGGGGGATTTCTCAGCCTCATCCCAAATGCCAGTGCCCACTTCCAATTTTAAACTGCACTTAGACACCGAGGGCTGTGGGTGCAAGTGGGGTTGTCCGGTGACATCAGCTGGCATTGGCCAGACAATGCCCGCACTGCCCACTCACCACAGCCAAGGAATACATCTCATCAACACACAACAACACTATATTGGAGCAGGCGGAGGGAAACTAGGGGTCTTAGCACACCTCTGTTGTTGCTTGGCTTCCTGGGGCTGGAGGCTAGGAGGGAGATCCGGCCGTCTGGTTGGGGGTCTGGGGTGGTGGGTTGCTGTGCTCAGCGTTGGGTGGGGGAGCCTGCTCATCAGTTCCCCAGCAGAAAGGGTCAAACTCTGGTAACCGGTAATGGTTGTACCCCATGTGCAGCAGTACCGGGACCAGAGTGAATAGGGTGTGTATGGGGAGCATGAGTGGGTGTCCGGCGTGCATTTTTGTAAGTCTTTGGTTGTATGTGCATGTGTGAGCATGAGGGAGAGAGTGTGTGACTGTGTCTGTGTATGACTGTATATGTCAGGTGGGGCCTTTGACTCCTCTCTTCTCCTGGGACTTCTTTTGATGATATAGATCTTCGTCTCCCCTCCCCCTGCCACACCTGGTGTGGAGTGTGGTGCCTTGGTCTGCCTGAGTGTTTGTGGCTCCCGGGTCAGGTTGGCGTCTGCCTGATCAATCCTGGTGGCTGTCTGGTGGGGTCTGGGTCCTTGGGCTCTGCTGGGTCCCCGGCAGGGGTGGTCGCCCCTGGGTCCCGGGCTCGGCCGGCTAGGGGGTGGGAGGCTGTGGGCGGGCCTGTGGGCTTGCTGCCGATATCTCCCGGGACTCTGCCGGCTTCTGGTTGTGGCCCACCGGGGCGATCCTCTGTGCCTCTCGAGGGGGGCAGGGGCCTTTCTGGTTGCGGTCTCCTTGGGGTTCCTGTGTTCTGGGGCAGCGCCTGGATCTCTGGGACTTGGAGCTCCCTCCGTCTCCTACGCACCTTTGGGGGCAGATCTGTGGTCCCTCACACTCTCTATTGGACGCTTTTATAAAGAAACCTTACATAAACAAGCGCGTGTACACACACAGGTGCTCACATGGTGCTCTCAAAAGTATGGGCTTGGGCACGTTCAACACATGTCTTAAGGCTGTCATTGCCACTAAATGCACTATGATTTATTATTGTGTGATTGTTCAGTTAAACAATGTTGATTTTATATTTCCTCATCAGGCTGACGCAGTGATAGCTTGCTCCTGTTGTATTGTTGTGCGTCCTATTTTTTCTCTATTCTTTCTCTTTCTGCAGGTCTAGAAGCAGACTATTGTTCATTATTGTTTATTTTTGTGGAACTTGGCCAAGGAGCCACAAATTGGTGGCATTACTCCACGCTGCCGAGGACAGGAGGAATAAATATAGCAATGATGATCCAAACAACTGAAGCCAGCAAAAGGAACCAGCCAGGAACAAATGGGCTCCACCAAATGCCTTGGATCCCTGGATAGGAATGCGCCATTATCCCCACCGGGAAGAGGTAGCCTGCGCCACTCAAACCTTGGCCTAGTTAGCTTTCCCCAATGCGATGAACGCCTCCTCCAGGGCGGAGGTACTTTTGATCTGGAATCTCTGCAGCAGAAACCGTCTGAAAGAGGGAGGGCTATCTGGTAGAATGTTCTGAGCTGATTAGAGGACGTGCAAAGTAGTGCTCGGCTGGCACTGGCTACCATATTTTGTCTTTAGCCAATCACAGTAACAACTCAAATGAGGTATACCATGTGCATCTGGAAAACAATAACTCTCTCAAGCTTCATTCATTCAATCACTCACGTGGCAATTACCCTGTCTTCGGGTGATTTCTGCCAGTTTTGCTAGAACAATATGCACATAGAGGGCAGGGTTTCCCCCAGCACTTTTTAAAGCCTGGCAGTTGCCAGGCTTTGCTTGGTCACATGCCAGGCTAAGCGATGCGTGGTCCCCCCCTCCCCCCCTCCCTGGCCCTACCTTCTCCGCTGACATGGACAACGCACGGCAGCGAAACGAACCGCGGGCCTCCCCTCTAAAGCAGGGTGTTTTAAGTCAGTTATGTCATTCGAACCTGCTAAATCGACTCAGCAAACAGTCAGACATTTGATGACCGTTGAAACAGCATCGCGAAAAAAAATAGTGCAGACGCCAAAACGATCGCTGCACGGCGCGGGCTGGAGCGCTGGCGCCTAGCGCTTCGGCGGCCCATGTGGCCTATAGAATAGGATAACAAGGGCGACAAATGAAGGCGGTCCCTGTTTTTCGACGCTTTGGCGGCACACGACCGTTGTCGCAGCTGAGGACGGGCGAGGGGGGGTTGGAAACAAAGCAATGAAATGCTGTGCAGGGAGTCCCCCCTCCTCTCCCTAGCCGGGAGAGGAGTAGGGGCGGTAATACGAGAAAATAAACATTCCTCTCTACAATAGAATAAATCTATTGTATTTTTTCAGCCTTATATTTTACATAAGGCTTATACATTGCCACATACTAGTCATTTAACGTATCTTATTTTTATTTTCCTAATACTGTCGGCTTTGGAAAGGATCAAAACACAAAAGTGTAAAACTCAAAAGTATTTTAATGCCAAAAATCAGGTGATAGAAATAAAAATCAGGTAGCTAGGACGCTAAAACCAGCAGAGTATGACTGAAACTGAACCGTATGCACTGAGGAGTGAGAGATGACAGAGGCCTACTTATGAGGAGGAGCTGTGAGTGGGAGCAGAGGACAGCAGGGGAACATAGGAGGAACTATAAATGAAAATATTTTTAAAGAAGAAAGAATCCTAAAAGGGAAGGAAGAATAACTAGGAAAAAAACCTGACAACAAAGTAGAAAATTCAGTGGAAGGAAAAAAAAAGACTTGACTACTAAATGAGAAAACCTTAACAGCTGGGGAACCAAACAAAAACAGAGCCATTGGTTTTGAGCCACAATGTCTGATATCATTTATTTACATGATAATTTTTAAACTTTTAAGTATAAAAATGCCACATTTAATGTATTTTACTTTGTCTTGGTATGAACAGATAACTGTACTTTTATGCTGATTATTTTATTACAGATGGAAAAAGAGGGTCGTAGTAAGGTGTGGGCCTACTTCACTAAAGATCCATCCGGTGATGTCATCTGCAGCATCTGCTCATCTTCAGTAGTAGTTTGTGTGTTCTGTTGTTTTTGAGATTGCAAAATTAATCTTATTTGCATTACATGGAAACCCTAGTGAGTTATTGAGACAGTTCTTTGGTGTGTAATATAGAAATAAGTTAGCATCAAAAACGCAGAGAATGAAGGGTTTAATCTTAAGAACATTTGTATTTATTTCTTTTTTGGTGAGGGAGATTTATCAGCCATTATATGGGCTATCGGCCTTTGCTAAAAGTTTTATATCGGTATCGGTCCCAAAAAAAGCATATCGGTCGGGCCCTAATTTAGAGATGTCAAGTGGTCACACAGGACACACTGCACCGCTGAGCGCTTCTTGGAAAGTCGCGCAATAGTCACAACATCACGCGGGACTTGAGAAGAAGAAGCAGGAAGTGACTATTGTTTATACGTGATCAGGCTTGCCGTCATGTTTTGTGAAACTTCAAAAAAATTCTAAATGGGCAAGTATGTTATTTATTTGAATATTTTAAGATCAATAATACTTTAAAGTTATCAAAACTGCGGCGGGGTTTGTGCCGGTGGTTGGGTTTGTGCTGTAAAGCCGTTCCGCATCGTAATGTCTGTTGTAAAGTACTCCACAATGTTGTAAGCAGCCGCGCTGCTTGAGATAGAACTGGCGCCTATCTTCAGCACCTAGGCGCAGCACTCCCCGTGAGCCCACTCTCAATAACTATAATGGCTTCTCATTTTAAATAGAAGCCATTATAGTTATTGAGAGCGTAACGACAGCTTCAATAGTAGGCTCGTGCACAAGGCGCGCATGCCGTACGTGCACACTCCTTAACGAAAATAACAGCTGAGACAGTCCCGTGTGTGTGTGTGTGTGTGTGTGTGTGTGTGTGTGTGTGTGTGTGCGTGTGGCCTGGAGGACAGGGGAACGCGCAGCTAATTAATTAAATAACTTGGTTCTGTACCTTTCTCTTCAGCACAGCCGACAAAGGTTTATGTTGGGTCAGTCCTCCTGCATACTCAAATCATTCCCTTCCCTTGCTTGAAAAATTGTTCCAAAATGAAAGTTGAACCCACATCTTTTTTATCTGTGAACTCAATGCTGTTCAGCGAGTCTCAAATAAAAATCTGGGCTCTTACTGTAAAAAAATATACCATTAATGTAAAAAAGAAACTCTAAATAAACTATGTTCACATCCAGAATCGAACCCAGGTCTTCTGCATGGCAGTCAGACATCTTACAAGGTGAGCTATAGCACCAGTGACATCCTTTGTATCTGTAATATTTATATCGTTGATGACAGCTGAAACAACGTTCAAAGAACGGTTCAGAGCAAAAATGGCTATTTTGTTGCTAATTTGCAGGAAATATCTAGAAGAAAGTAGCTAAGGGTCCTCAGAAATGTAGCTAGGTTCATCACTAGGCGTTAGGAACAGCGACAAAGTCGCTGAGTTGGCACTACCTCACTCTCTGCTGCTAAAGCTACGGATAGCAAATGCTACGGGCTATGCCTGAGCGTGAACGCGCATGAAGCAGCCTGCTCGACCCGAGCAACTCTTTTTCTGTGATTTTACAGAAAAACAGGCAATCACAGTAAAAATGCCAGGGCTCATTCTACAGGACCAGGGCATTGCAGGAGAATGTATGAAGAAGAAATTTATTATTTCTATACACGTTTTGGCTGTCAAACTTCCATAATGTCCCTTTAAGAAGTTGTGGCCAGAAAAAAAAACACACTGTTTAAGCTGCAAGTCTTAGTATTTTTCTCTTGAAAAAAATAAAAACATATTTTTATCTAAATTAAGTCCATTTAATGGTTTCTTTTTTTCCCAGCTCATGTAGTCTGTGGCACTCATAACTGCAAAGAGTTATTAATAGCCAGTCTGTGTAATTGGTGTCGCAGATTGTATAAAGTAATCCTACTGGTGATCAGCAGCAAAAAACTCGACCAGAGCAACCTTATGCTGACACTTGTTATCTTTAAAGCAAACAGATTGTGGACCTGGGAGACGCCCTTACCTTTCTCTACCTGAATTCTGAACGCCGTCCTGTTTCGTCTTCCATAATCGGTCCTAAAAACATGGAAATTTTCTGCTCAGTAATCTGTTTATGAGGGAAAAAAGCTAGAGCCAGTTCTGACCTACCTATATTGTTTCTGAAGGTCCAGGGCCAGAGTTGAAAGGTCAACAAATTCCAAACTACTGGAAGCCAGATACTAGAAACACAAAAATGCCTTATATTTATTAAAAATTCTAAATTTTCTTGCATTTATGTAAAAAAATAAATAAACATGCACAAAACTGCTAACTTTTCATCTTCATTATTACCAAGACAATTATATGAACAGACAGAAGACATTTTTCTTGTTGAATTGATCAGTCATTTAAAGATCTGTACCTGCTCCACTCTCTGTTTAAGGCGCATGTCTAGCCCGCCACCACCTCTGTTCTTCATTTCTGTCTAGGTCTGAAAAAGAAGAGCGATAGTAAGAACTAGAGCTGGGTATTGATTCAAATTTCAAGAATCAATTTGATTCCAATTCTCAAGCATTAAAATTGATTATCGCAATTTGATTAGATTTGATTTAATATATCGATTCAGGTCAGTGAACTCTTCTTTTTTTGCTGTCACCTTAATTACACGACTAAGTAGTTGTGTAGTATATCAACACTATTAACATTCAACAACAAATTTCCGGTTCGGTCTCAGGTTACAACTCCAGCGCTCAGCCCTGCAGAACCACATAAAGGCGGAACAATTCTTGGTAAATGTGGAGGACACTTACTCTGACAGGTTTGGATGCTGCGCTGACGCCGCCGTTAAAAAAACAATACTACATTCCACTATAATCGATTATGGTGTACTCTTCCACGATGCAGAATAGTTTATGTCTCGATGCATCGATGATTTGATTATTTTCCTCAGCTCTGGGCACAACATTCCAAAACTGCATTTTGTACCCCCTTTGAGCGGTTTGAATGGAACCGAATGCCTTTCGGTCTCTGTAATGACTCCAGCATCTTCCAACATGCAGGTTTTTTTGGAGACCAGAAGTGTCATCTTTACTGTTGTATTTGTATGACATTATTGAGTTTTCATCCACCATCAAGCAGCATTTGGATAGGTTGGAAGTGGTGTCAGAGTGGCTACAGAGAGAGGGCCTTAAGGTGCAGCTCCCCAAGTTTGCGTTCTTCCAGCAGGAGGTGCACTACTTGGGGCATGTGATCTCTGACAGGGGTGTCTCCACAGACCCACATAAGGTGTAAGTGGTGGCAAAATGGCCAGCCCCAACTACGGTGTCCAAGTTGTGGTCGTTTTTAGGTTATAGCAGCTACCACTGGTGGTTTGTGGAAGGCTTTGCCCGTTTGGCTGCCCTGCTCCACAGGTTACCCCCAAATTCCACTACCTCCGCTCTGCTCCGCCCCCGCCTTCCACAGCCGCTCGCTTCCGAACTCAATTTTTCTTGGTACCCGCTCTACAACGGCTCCGCTCCGGTGCGGAGACCTGAGGTGGGCAAACAAGCATGCGCGGGATTTTCGAGATCTTGCGATACAGTCCGAGCAATAAACGCGGAAGTTAGATCCAAACACCCGTTGTGTGGGAGAAGCATCGAAATGAACTGTTTAATCTGCCCATCATTTGTGTTGAGAGATCAGCAGTGTTTGGATCAACAAAGTGAGACTACTTTGATAGTGGAAACTGTATTTATGGCTTACTTTTGTGCATTTAAAGTTCAACCGCCATTGATAGTTGTTAAAAGTTGTTAAACCTGTGCATATGAAACAAAAAACGCCTTTTGTTTATCGATTTATTGTGAAAAACGGAAGTGATGCTTGCTCCTTTTCCTGTTGGGCGGTTGTGATTCCTGTCCATTGACTGCGGAGGTGCTCCGGCAAAAATAGGATCGATTCTATTTTTGCCGGACGCCGGAACAGAGGGCGACGCACTGCGCCGCACTGCCGGAGCACGGCCGCAGTGGTGGAATTGCTCTGATTGACTACAACGGGACGGATTTTGCTCCGGAGTTCGTGCCGGAGCGGAGCGGAGGTAGTGGAATTTGGGGGGTTAGTTGCAGAGCGGGGAAGTGTAAAAACAAGAGGGAATGCATGTCAGAAAACAGGCGAGCAGCACTGTACTCAGCTGTGTCAAGACAGCTTTGAGGGTCTTAAAAACCAGCTAATGACATACCCTGTGTTGGCCTATGCAGACTTCATCCTTCCTTTCATCCTAGAGGAGGACGCAAGTCATGGTGGGCTGGGTGCAGTACTGTCTCAGAAGCAGGGAGGGCAGGTCCGACCAATAGCTTATGCTAATTGGAGGTTGAGGCTCACTGAGCGCATTATGGCAAACTATAGCTTTATGAAGCCAGAGTTTTTTGCACTTAAGTGGGCCATGACCGAAAAGTTCCGGGAGAATTTGCTAGGCTACAGGTGTACACCTGTACACAGCCCTACTGTGTACAGGTGTACACAGTAGGGCTGAACGATTCTGGAAAATAAACTAATTGCAATTTTTTTTCTTAAATATTGAAATTGCTATTTAATTCGCAATTACTTTCTCAAGTGGCTTTTCTCACATTTTTAAACTAACAAAAGCAAAAAATAATAATAATCTATGTAACTTGTACTGAATATAAACAAGTTTATGTTTGTTAGCTGTTTGGCTAGCTGAATGAGGATACACAGGAGGTGCCCTGTAGCCTGTCCTTGGTCAAAAATTTCCCAGAATAAAAGTGCGGTATTTTCAAAAAGATGGAGGGTCAGGAGCCGGCAGCTTCTTCGGGGGCAAAGGTCAAGTTTAAATGTAAGTCAACTAATTGCAGCTATTGAGCTGATATCTAAAATGTTTTTATTTTTTTAAATACCCACAGCAGTTATCTATGGTTGGTTAGTTGCATAGTAGTTGCAGCTTCGGTGGCTACCAGGTAGTAACTCGCTTACATATTTAATCAATATATACACAATTTAAAAAGTAAAAGGCTCATTATATTTGTATGTTGAAACATACATATGAAATATAATGTTACATCCTGCCATGTGACATAACGTGACCACTACGGAAGCCACAGACACGTGATACAAGTCTGTTCCATTTAACAGTTTTCGTTGACCAAGGAAGAAAAGTGTCCTCGTAAACTAGGCGCCTGGCCCTGCGGACGCCTTACATTGAAAATACCTCGACAGTCTATGAGATACTTAATTTGGGATTTTCATTAGTTGTCAGTTATAATCATCTAAATTTAAAAAATAATCATTTGAAATATATTGGTTGTGTGTAATGAATTAAACTAATAGGGAGCCTAAGTCACTTCCGCACCATGGGTCCCCGGAAGAACGAAACAAAGAATGCAACTCAATGGGGCTAAAAACGCTGTTTTCTAATCCGCTTTGCCTTACGCCCTGGATCGCACATATGTTGTACTGCAATTTAAATGAAAAGTATTGATGGGTGTTTCGACCACGCCAGTCTTGATTTAGCAGCTTGTAAAAATCTCCTCTCCCCTAACGTAGCTGCTACTTACCACATGACCAGATTTATGGTGGTTCTTCCCTCTTGTGGGAAGTTAGCTGAACTTAAAGCCCGTTTCCCTCAGTTTTCTTCGTGTCTGGTTAGATGAAGCCACTTTCATGAAGCGCATTTGTAGTCCTGGACTTATTTTCACCCAAAACCTAAAATAGCGTTTCCCCCTGTTTAAAAAATAAGCACGTTCTTGGTATCAAAATGTGTCTTTGAAATTCACGGACATCATACGTGAAATCCATGGCACAAAACAAGCGGAATTAGAAAACAGCTTTTTTAGCCCCGTTGACTTGCATTCATTTTTTCGTTCATATGATGCGGAAGCGACTTAGGCTCTCTATAGGGCTTGTGATCGTGACGTAATCATCAACGCAGAGAAACGATGTATAAAAAAAATGTACAACATCTGTAACTTACAAGAATGAAAATACCCCAGAAGGTGATGTTTGGTCGCCTTATAGCTGCAATCCAAGTGAGCCAACAAAACTTTGTTATGCTAGATACTTGGTCTCTGTGGTTTTGCCTCCAAGCAGGAAAATAGTGAAAAGTTAGCTTGACTTACACCTTTATTCCCCTGGTGATCACATGTGTCACCCCACAACACAGCAACGATTTACTAGAGTTGTGTAATATAACCGATCAAATGAATAATAGATTGATTTAAGCTGCAAGAACGAGACTCAGCGCACTGATTACAGTAGTAACAAGCAACAAGTACGGACTCACACGCCTCCAACGAAGTGGCTGCATCGGTGATGACGTCACGATCACAAGCCCTATATAGAAGAAGAAGAAACTATGTTTTCTAGCGCCTCTCAAGATAAAAATCACGAGGCGCTTCACAAAAACAAAAAATGTAAAATATTTAAAAGAATTTAGAAAATCATTACAAATATGTTTAAAATAAGCAAAAATGCACTATTGTGATTTTAAAATGTCAAGAAAGAGAGAGTTAATAGGAAAGAGGGAAATCAGTGGATCCTGAGTAAGGTGAAGTAGGTGGGGAGAACAGAATAAGGAGAGTGGTGAAGAAGGTCATACAAAAGCCAGCTTGAACAGGTGAGTTTTCAGCTGCTTTTTAAATGAGACCACTGAGTCCACTGATCTCAGGCTCAGGGGGAGAGAGGTCCAGAGTCTGGGGGCCACAACAGCAGATGATCCATCACCTTTGGTCTTTAGCCTGGTGCTGCACAATCAGTAAGCTTTGGTCACTGGACCTCAGATATAGTGAAACTGTATATACAAATATATAGCTTCAGCATTTGAATGAAATAAATCAACGTTTTCATGATGTTCAAATTTTATGGCCAGCACCTGTAGGTAGACGGACGCTGAGGTTGGAACCACTAGGCAGGAGACTGGAAGGAAGACCAAAAAGTCTGAATATGAGGTTAGTTGGTTTGAGGGTAGTGAAAATGCTACTAAATGGAGACAGATGATCGATGTGGAAACACCTGAAGGTGCCTGCCTAAGAGGGAAAAAAACAAATGTAGTTGTCCTAGTGATGGCAGCAGTAGTTTGTCTTTCAAACTAGAGCATTGCGTGAAATGTCATTGTCTTTTTCTGACGACATACTCTTTTATTTCCGATGGGCTCCGTTTGAAGCTAGCCGTGTAACATTAGCAGCACGTGAAGGAGTGTTCTTACCTGAATAACACGCTCGCGAACGCGTTCCTGACCGCTAACCCTGAACAAATGTAATTAACTCAAATGTGAAAACCGTTGCAATATCAGGGGGAAAAAAACAGTTCCTGTGTTATTTTGGGGGGTTAGAAATAATAGATACAACCGCATGGCTCTTACTTCCGGAAATTTCAAGGTTCTTCGTCCGGGTGAAGATTTTCAACATAAAAGACTGTTTCACCAGATAAGTCAACAGTAATCCCACGTGATCTGTTTTCAATAGCACGTTAGTTGTTGAAACCAAGATACATATATCAATTCAATTCAATAATTTATTTCACTCAAAGTTTAAATATACAAACTTCAAATTAGAATATAAGCATTCGAGTGAAATAGGGGAGGAAGAAGAAAAAATCTTATATGACCTACCCCCTTTAACTAAAGACAAGAGAAATAACAAAAAGTACAAAATAGCCTTATACACAAAAAATAAACCGCTCTCTTACTTCCACAAATAATATCACTACTAAAACATTAATCCTCCATCCTCAACTCACCAAATCATACGATTTTAGCATTTTATCTTTATACATTTTTTGAACTGATCAGTAGTTGTACATTTTTTTAATTCATCATCCAGGTTATTCCATAATTTCACACCATATATTGAAATACACATTTGCTTTAATGTAGTACGAACAAATATCCTTTTAAACTCTGGTTTCTTTCTACTCTTATCATTTTTTGGGATCAAAACAAAGAACCTTTGTAGATTTGTTGGCAGTAAATTATTTCTAGCCTTAAACATAATTAGTAAAATTTTCAAGTTAACTAAGTCTTTGAATTTCATAATTTTAGATAAAATAAAATATTTGTTAGTATGTTCTCTCGGATTTACTTTATGTAGAATTCGCAAAACTTTCTTCTGTAACAGAAACAAAGGATTGGTGTTTGTTTTATACGTATTGCCCCAAACCTCAATACAATAAGTTATGTATGGTAAGATAAATGAATAATATAATGTCTGAAGCATTGAAATTTCTAGAAACCCTTTGACTTTGTTTAAAATTCCAATACTTTTGGATATTTTTTGTTTTATATATTTTATATGGGATTTATAAGTTTATGGTCCAAGAGAACCCCTAAGAATCTGACTTCATTTACTCTATCAATTAAAAAACCATCAATAGACAACATAAATAAATCATTAGATTTTCTGTTACCAAAAACCATGAATTTTGTTTTATTCCAATTGAGAAATAATTTATTGCCATTAAACCACTTCTTAAGTTTAGACATTTCGCAAACCATATTTTGAAAAATAATTTCTAAATCATTTCCAGAACAAAATATATTCGTGTCATCAGCAAACAATATGACCTGTAATACTTTGGACTCATCACAAATGTCATTTATATATATATATATAGAATAAAAAGCTTAGGGCCCAACACTGACCCCTGTGGGACACCATGTGTAATATCTAGTGAATCTGAAATTTCATCATCTAACTGTACAAATTGATTTCTATTGGTCAAATAACTACTTAACCAGTCATGGGCGATTGCACGTATCCCATAATCCCTCAGCTTGGAGAATAAAATACTATGATCTATTATGTCGAATGCCTTTTTAAAATCAATAAACAAACCCACTGTATATTGTTTTTTCTCTATTGCTGATGACAGTTCTTCATCTAATTCCAATAAAGCCAGGGATGTAGATTTATGTGATCGAAACCCATACTGGCTCTCACTCAGGAGGTTTTCCTTCTCAATAAAGTTATCTAGTTTCTGAACAAACCATTTCTCAAGCACTTTAGAAAACTGAGAAAGCACTGAGATTGGTCTATAATTATCAAACTTATGTCTATCACCATTTTTAAATATTGGAATTACTTTTGCAGTTTTCATTTTTTCTGGAAATGTACCACTCTGAACAGACAAATTACAGATATAAGTGAATGGTTTAACAACATAATCAAGTTTTCTTTACAATCATCATGTCAATCTCGTCAGTCTGTGGATGTTTTATTTTTACTTTTCCTAACTATCATCAAAACTTCATTTTCACTTACATCCCCTAAAAACATAGACTGTAAAATTTTGCTCCCTCCTTGTATTTTTCCAGCTTCATTATATACATATTTATGGTTGCAACCGTAGGCTGCCCAAAACGGGCATAGTCGCTCACTCTGCATTGACTGGAGTGTGAGGAGACCCATCCAATAAGGCGGTGACGCTGTTACGCCCTCAGCTTCTGGTGACCCACAACCCGACCGGAAAGGGAGGAGACTTCAGACGTAGAGAAAGCCATACTTGTTTAAATGGCGGCACCCGGGAAGAACGTGGAGGAAATTCGGAATCGAGTAATTTTGGAGGAATTTGGTTTGAAGAATGTAAGTTTGAGAAGAGTGTTCCCTATAAGCATCTCTTATACGAGCGCGTCTTTCTGTATTTGAACCATTAAACCTGCGCTGGTGTTTTCTATCTATACAGATCTGTTTTTTTTTATTTGATTTTTTTTTCCTTTGATGGCGAACTATTATTAACACGAAGTTTCACAGCCGGACGGGCACTTTGGACTAGAGATTGTTAAAAATCGCACTACTTAAAACCAGTGCTTGAAGACATAACACCAGTACTCTAATTTATAAAATGGTGCCGGTGTTGTGCCATAAATCGACTCGCTGCCAAAAAATGATTAGCCACTAAAGAAAGGAAGGGGAAAAAAATCAAATCGCTGGAGAATTGTTTATTTACATTTATACAACGTTTACATTCAATACAGGGCGCCATTTTACATTGTTTATTTATTTTTTAGTATCAAGGCTGTAACATAAAGAAAGCCAGTTCTTACCACAAACCATCTTTCAATCGCAAATATTGCAAAAAGGATTAATATATCCTCATTGTGAACGTTTAAGACAAATAGCAACACTTAAAACAACTTCCGAACTGGAAAAAACTAAGCTAATCATTTTTTGGCAGTGAGTCGATTTATGGCACAACACCGGTGTTTGGTTGGCATAGACTATACGAACAGCCTCATTTTTAGTAAAGTTTCCATATAATGAAAATTCCACTTTTAGGAACTTGTTACCATGTGATATTGTCATTTCCTCATAATACCTCAAACCTTTTTTGGGCTGCATTCATGCATTTTCCTGTCTCAACTGAAATTTGGTCGGTGTAAAGATCTTTCCTTCAAATGGGAGAACGGCATTTCTCTTCCCACTGAAGTCTGGTCTTGGTTCTGAAACCTGGATATTCCGACAAATTACTTCTGAATTATTTTTACTAGAACGCCACCGTAAAAACATATCCCGTATACAAAGACACCCGTGATGGCAAGGGGTTTGTGTACTGGGCACCTATATCATGGTTACAGTGTGATATGGAGTGTAGTTTTGCGCAGGTTCGCCTCCCGGTCGCAGCATTAACTTTTTTTTCTTCTTTTTTTAGCAACAGTTGCCAGTATTATGTTTTCAACCCTTTATTGGTAAACTGTTTAAAATATAAGGACTAATCTGTTTGTTTCGTTCTTTGTTTATTTATGCCCAATCAGTCTACATGTGTTTTGTGGATTTGGAGAATGCGTTTGATCGCTTCCTTCGGGGGGCCCTGTGGGGGGTACTCTGGGAGTATGGGGTACCAGGCCCTCTGATACGGGCTGTTAGGTCCCTGTATGACCGGTGTCAGAGCTTGGTCCGCATTGTCGGCAGTAAGTCGGGCTCGTTGCCAGTGAGAGTTGGACTCCGCCAAGGCTGCCCTTTGTCACCGATTCTGTTCATAACCTTTATGGACAGGATTTCTAGGCACAGCCAAGGTGTGGAGGGCATCCGTTTTGGTGGCCTGAGGATCAGGTCTCTGCTTTTTGCAGATGATGTGGTCTTGTTGCCTTCATCAGAACGTGATCTTCAGCTTTCGCTGGAGCGGTTCGCAGCCGAATGTGAAGCAGCTGGAATGAGAATCAGCTCCTCTAAATCGGAGACCATGGTCTTGATTCGGAAAAGGTTAAATGCCTTCTCCGGGTCAGGGATGAGGTCCTGCCCCAAATGGAGGAGTTTTAGTATCTCAGGGCAGGGTCTGAAATTAACACTCGCCACTCGCCAAATGCGAGCAAATTGCTCCATTTGGCGAGTAAATTTTTGAGCTCTATCTGCCACATAGCGAGTAAATGTTTGCACCAAATTAGTTATGTTTATCAGTCATCTTCCATGGATTTCTGATACTCCTCCCGCCTGCATGCAACATACACAAATGTACGCGAAACGTGAACGCCGCATCCAACGTCATTTCCACCTATCCCATTCAATCAGTTTATCAAGTTAGCAGTTAGCTTCATGTTAAAACTAGCGGTGAAATGTGGCGATTTTTAACTGAAGTCAGCCAGCCTTCCAAATGAAAACTCGTCGAACTGGAAGAAAAATCACCAGGACCAGTGGCAACCAGAAGATTTTGTGAAAAGTGGCGAACTGGAGATGGCGGAGTCGTGAGACAATGGCTGCATTATGATGGCCACGTAGCGTTGCTGCCTTTCACAGACAACTGGCCCTCGGCATTCTTCAAATATCCAAAAAAATGCCCATACTTCCGACTTAGACTTCTTTGAGGGATAATAAATGTCCCGAGTGCTGCCGTCTCCTCTGGCCATTATTTCAGCTTTAGCTTAAAGAAAGTTTTGGTCGTAAACAACAAAGCGCGCATGTGCCGCCGGCAACTTCCAACAGATGATACGGTGGCTGGTAAGGGTCACCGCACCTACACCGCAGCCACGGTAATCCACCGAGATAATATATATTTTTGTAAAACAAGACGGTTATTATTATTGTCAACTTTTTTTTACCGGGGTTTACCGCTACACCGGTTACCGTGACAACCCTAGCCCTGACACTTTCAGATATTCTCATGGTGCAGCTGTGTCCTCCAGAGATCAAGGACTATGACCCAAATGAGGCTGTAATGCTGTGGCACAAAGACGGTGTCAGAAGCAGGAGGCCAGACTTCATGGACAGAGAAAACAAGGAGTCTGACTAGATTTCAATGAAAGAGTTCATAAAAACATCTCTAAAAATAAATAAATAAATAGTAAAAATGACAAAATAGTTGTTTTTCTTATTAATTGATGTTTTAATTATTTTGTCACTCTGTTTGGAATCAACATAATATAGAATAACATGCTTTAGGTAGATCTAAATCATTTAGAATTTTGGCCGGTAAAAAATATGCTTGGCCGGTAGATTTTCATCATCTACCAGCCAACTTGGCCGGTGAGTAAAAAAATTTAATTTCGGACCCTGTCTCAGGGTCTTGTTCACAAGTGAGTATATAGTATGTATATATGTATATAGTATAGAAATATATGTGTATATATATATATATATATGTATATATATATATATATGTATCAGGGTTTCCCCCATCGTCATATATGGGTTTCCCCCAGAAAATGAGTTAAGCCTGGTGCCGTAGCGCTCCTCTGTGAGAGCGGGGGTGGGGGTGAGGGGTTGCACAAGTTCCGCTGCGGTTTCTCACCAGTATCAGCTGATGGAGGGCTCTTATTTCGTTGCGCCGTCGGGGAGGGGGGAGGGTATGACGCGTAGCCTGGCGGGTGGGCAAGCAAAGTGCTGGCGGAAACCCTGTGTGTGTGTGTGTATATATATATATATATATATGTATATATATATTATATCATGCTTAATTTGATCAAAGAACATTGTAAACTAGTAACAGCCATAGTTCATATGGTTCTGACAATTGACATGACAGCGCCCCCTTTAGTTCCGGAACACAGGTGTTGCATTTTACAACTATGGAATGGGTCTGACATCTGGCCCCGACGCCGCCCTTTTCTGCATGCTGCAGCCAGTTAGGGTCTGCAGAGAAAAGAAAGGCATTGAGCGCTAAGTAGAAAACACTTTGCTTTAATATGTTTACTGTAATGTTCTGCAACAGACACATTTTGTTTTCACAATAATATTACTTAAGTACTATTTGAATAGTACTCCTTTATTCAGCCTTAATCTTTGTGCAATTCATAAAACCTTTACCCTAAATTAACGGGTTTACTTCTTTCTACATGTCACCAGAAAACAACCTGCCACAACAAAATAAAAGCAGTGTTACACAAAACGAAAGATCTGTAGTATTTATTATTTTTTGTAATCCGTAAAATAATTGCTGTTATTTTCTGACATTGTATAATGTTATTTATTTGCCATAATACATGATCTGTTTCATAATAGGTTTTATTCTAGGTTCCTTTCTAAAAACGTGTGGAGTGTTCTAACCTTTACCAATCTGATTTCATAAGTGTTAACTCATTTCAGTAAAAAGAAACTTCCCACACTTCATAGGGGTCCCTGCCCTCACACCAGAAAAGCAGAAATGTTTTAATTTGGTTACAGTTACTCAGGATCCTTCATAGAGTGAGAATCCTTTAATTGATTCTGCTTCAGTTCATCTGCTGACCAACAACTTTCAATTATAACTCGTTCTTGGCAAATCAGTTTAAATGACGATAAAACTTGTCTTTTTCAGGTACATACAACAGATTTTCCTGGCAACTACCCTGGCTTAGATGACTCTTGGGACATGCACCAATTTCAAAAGGTGAAATATACAGCATTTCACAGTCATCTGATTGTTCTTGTGGAACTCCAGGGTTAGATTATCTCACTCATCTACACATTCTGCAAGTTTACTGTTTAGGAACTAGCTACTGTATTTCTTTAACATCTCAAATATTTTTACATGAAGTAAAAACCTAAAGATGACAACTGCTGTGGTGAGGAATCTGCCCACTAACATTCAGATTGATTTATACCACAAATGTGGGCCTCGTGATTTCAAATTAGAATTGTTAATTGGCACACACAAAAGTTTTCTTGTCCGGGGATTGGACCGCCAAGGCTCCCGCCTTGGTCTGCCACCCGATTCACATTGCACCGGACCCTTCATGTTCCTCCTGCGGGTGGTGGGTCCACAGTTGGACGAGCCCATGTATCCGGTTCGGGCTGGGCCCGGCCGGGCCCCATGGGCGAAAGCCCGGCCACCAGGCGCTCGCTCACGGGCCCCAACCCCAGGCCTGGCTCCAGGGTGGGACCCCGGTAACCCTCCGGGCCGGGTACTCAGACTCTTCGTTTTAACCGCCATGAAAGATCCTTCGAACCGTTCTTTGTCTCACCCTTCACCTAAGACCAATTTGTCATGGGAGACCCTACCAGGGGCACTAAGTGCCCCAGACAACATAGCTCCTAGGATCATTAGGGCACTCAAACTCCTCCACCACAATAAGGTGACGGTTCAAGGAGGAGGACTCTGCAATGTCTCTACAACATTGCGTGGGGTTGGCTTTTTGTTAGCCCCGAGACTCTCTGCCTGTGTGTTGGGGTTTACCCCGGGGGACAAGAGGGTAGCTTCCTTGCGCCTTCGGGTCGGGGAACGGGTCCTGACTGTTGTTTGTGCTTATGGGCCAAATATCAGTTCAGAGTACCCACCCTTTTTGGAGTCCCTGGGACGAGTGCTAGATAGTGCTCCATCAGGGGACTCCATTGTCCTGCTGGGGGACTTCAATGCTCACGTGGGCAATGACAGCTTGACCTGGAGGGGTGTGATTGGGAGGAACGGCCCACCTGATCAGAACTCGAGCGGTGTTTTGTTATTGGACTTCTGTGCAAGCCGCAGTTTGGCCATAACGAACACCATGTTCGAACATAAGGATGCCCACCGGTACACTTGGTACCAGGGCAGCCTAGGTCACAGGTCGATGATAGATTTTGTAGTCGTATCATCTGACCTGCGGCCGTATGTTTTGGACACCCGAGTGAAGAGAGGGGCGGAGCTGTCAACTGATCACCACCTGGTGGTGAGTTGGATCAGATGGCAAGGGAACATGCCGCGTAGACCTGGCAGACCCAAACGCATAGTGAGGGTCTGCTGGGAACGCCTGGCAGAAGAACCTGTCAAGACGGTCTTCAACTCCCACCTCCGGCAGAGCTTTGACCACGTCCCGAGAGCAGTGGGAGACATTGAGTACGAGTGGGCCTTGTTCCACTCTGCGATTGTCGAGGCGGCTGTTGCTAGCTGTGGTCGTAAGGTGGCCGGTGCCAGTCGTGGTGGCAACCCCCGTACCCGCTGGTGGACACCAGAGGTTCGGGGAGCCGTCAGGCTGAAGAAGGAGGCCTACAGGGCGTGGCTGGTCTGTGGGTCTCCGGAGGCAGCCGACAGGTACCGGATAGCCAAGCGGGGTGCAGCAGTGGCAGTTGCCGAGGCAAAATCTCGGGCGTGGGAGGAGTTTGGTGAGGCCATGGAGAAAGACTATCGATCGGCTCCAAAGAGGTTCTGGCAAACTGTCCGGCGCCTCAGGAGAGGAAGGCAGCAACTCGCTCACACTGTTTACAGTGGGGATGGGGAGCTGCTGACGTCAACTGAGGCTATAGTCGGACGGTGGAAGGAATACTTTGAGGAGCTCCTCAATCCCACCAATGCGCATTCCGAGGAGGAACCAGAGCTGGGAGGCCTGGGGATGGACTGTCCGATCTCGGGGGCAGAAGTTGCTGAGGTAGTCAAACAACTACACAGCGGCGGAGCCCCGGGGGCGGATGAGGTTCGTCCTGGGTATCTCAAGGCTATGGATGTTGTAGGGCTGTCATGGTTGACACGTCTCTACAACATTGCGTGGTCATCGGGGGCAGTTCCTAGGGAGTGGCAGACCGGGGTGATGGTCCCCATCTTTAAGAAGGGTGACCTGAGGGTGTGTTCCAACTATAGGGGGATCACACTCCTCAGCCTCCCTGGAAAGGTCTACTCCAAGGTACTGGAGAGGAGGGTCCGATCGATAGTTGAATCTCCGATAGAGGAGGAGCAATGTGGTTTTCGTCCTGGCCGTGGAACTGTGGACCAGCTCTATACCCTTGCAAGGGTGATGGAGGGGGCATGGGAGTTTGCCCAACCAATCCACATGTGCTTTGTAGATTTGGAGAAGGCTTATGACCGTGTCCCCAGGGGCACCCTGTGGGGGACGCTCCAGGAGTACGGGGTGGGTGGCTTTCTGTTAAGGGCCATTCAGTCCCTTTACCAGAGGAGCGTGAGTTTGGTCCGCATAGCCGGTAGTAAGTCGGACCTTTTCCCAGTGAGGGTTGGACTCCGCCAGGGCTGCCCTTTGTCACTGGTTCTGTTCATCACTTTTATGGACAGAATTTCTAGACGCAGCCGTGGTGTGGAGTGTGTCGAGTTTGGTGGCAGGAGAATCTCGTCTCTGCTTTTTGCGGATGATGTGGTCCTCCTAGCTTCATCCAGCTCTGACCTTCAGCTCTTGCTGGGTAGGTTCGCGGCCGAATGTGAAGCGGCTGGGATGAGGATCAGCACCTCCAAATCTGAGACCATGGTTCTCGACCGGAAAAGGGTGGCTTGCCACCTCCGGGTCGGGGGAGAGGTCCTACCTCAAGTGGAGGAGTTTAAGTATCTCGGGGTCTTGTTCACGAGTGAGGGTAGGAGGGATCGGGAGATCGACAGGCGGATTGGTTCGGCGTCTGCAGTGATGCGGACGCTGAGCCGATCTGTCGTGGGGAAGAGGGAGCTGAGCCAGAAAGCCAGGCTCTCGATTTACCGGTCGATCTACGTCCCAATCCTCACCTATGGTCATGAGCTTTGGGTAATGACCGAAAGAACGAGATTGCGGATACAAGCGGCCGAAATGAGTTTCCTCCGTAGGGTGGCCGGGCTCAGCCTTAGAGATAGGGTGAGGAGCTCGGACATTCGGGAGGGACTCGGAGTAGAACCGCTGCTCCTCCGGATCGAAAGGAGCCAGTTGAGGTGGTTTGGGCATCTGGTCAGGATGCCTCCTGGACGCCTCCCCGGGGAGGTGTTTCGGGCATGTCCTGCCGGCAGAAGGCCCCCGGGTCGACCCAGGACACGTTGGAGAGGTTACATCTCCAATCTGGTCCAGGAACGCCTTGGGGTCCTGCCGGAGGAGCTGGTGGACAAGGCCGGGGAGAGGACGGCCTGGAGCTCCCTAGCTGGGATGCTGCCCCCGCGACCCGGACCCGGATAAGCGGAGGAAGACGAGACAAGCACACACAAAAGAGTGATTTCCCTAACAAATCCACTCACGCCCATGTCAACCCCAGTTACATTCTTAGGAGAGAAGCCACACTTAACCCATTATAAGGCCAACATTGAAGTAGTTTAAAAATTAAAAAGATTTTCAATAAAGTGATCAAATATGGCCATTGGTCTTGTCCTGGAGGCCGTTTTGGGTTCGTTTTCAGGAACCTTCTGAGTACCTGCTCTGGAGTAGGTACTCCAAACGGCCCGGTGGAGTAGCTGAGTGGAACCTCCAGTTTACTCACGCTGATTGGTTGTAACTCAGTAGGAAATGACACCGCAGACGTCCAAACCAACCAGCAGCAGTAGTTTAAAAAGGCTTATTTACAAAAGGTAGGATAAAAGGTATTCAATAAGTGAACTAAAATTAACTCCCTCTGCTAAAAATAGGGAGCAGCCAAACAACTACTAACTTAAAGCGCTCTCTCTGGTTTTAAACCAGAGAGAGAAAACCATTGTGGGCCATTCCCATCTGTACTGGGTCGGGCCGGGTGGCGTAGGTTGTTTACATATCTGGGTGGCCTGGTATTTTTCCGGGCCAACCAAGGCTCATTCTCAGCCCTCTTCTCGAGGGGGTCTGCTTCAGGCCGACCAGGGCCAACACACCCACTGCTGACAGCAAATTCACACCTTCCATTAGAGCAAGCCTCTGATTGGTGGGTAGAATCAGCCCACATGGGCTTAAGACAAGGATGTGTGGAATCAACCGGGCCAGGCTGGGGCCGACTGGAGCTACCCGTCCCGGGCCGACCCGGTACAGATGGGAATGGCCCACAAGTGGGTAACAACTCCTAATTGAACTAATCAACCACAAAAATGGGATTTCTAAGAATTAACCAAAACCATTTCTGTATGAACCAAACAAAGGACCCACAACTATCTAACTAGAAATCTTCTTTAACTAAAAATCCTCAAAAGCAAACAACTAAAGCCAAACTAAACTGAGGATTTGGAGATTCACAAGAGAAACACAAAACGGGTGGCACAAGGGCACATAATATCATTAGCAACTGGGGCACTAAACAAAAACCGAAAACCCCAGGAATGGAGAGCACAGTTTGGGCAAGTACAAAACAGAGTAGCTCAGAGACAGTTTTAACACCAAATCTCTTGTCACTGTGTCTCCATGACTGAAGACCAAGGTAGGCTTAAGGTTGGTTTATGCTTGACGCGTCCGCGAGGTCCGCACGGCTCCGCGCGGAAAAGTTGCGTCATTTTGCTTCATTTTAACAACCACGCCCCTCCACCGCGCCTCCGCACGGCCCAGAATTTCCGCAACGCGCACCTCGGAAAATTTCTAACCACGCGGACGGACGGACGCGGGAAAACATGGCGGACCGGCAAGAACTAGTATGGCAGAGGTTCGTAAATTCAGACATTTTTATGATTCAGCTCTCAGAGATCACCGTGATCAGCATGTTGTAAATAATTCTTGGAGAGAAATAGCTCGCACTGTCGGAAAAGACGAGAACGCTGTTAAAAATGCTGAAATGCCATATTGTAAA